CTCTCTCTCTCTCTCTCTCTTCCCATCGACCGGCTCGGATCGATAGCGATCTATATTACAGGCGGCTGCCTCCTCGAGTGGAGGACACGGGGGTGTCTCTTCGACGTCTCACCGACGATCGCTGAAGAGGCTATTTGCCTTGCGGTGATGGTGATGGTAATAACGGCGCGCAGTTCCGCGGCTCTATTATGATAACCAAAAGTTCCTGTCGAAACTACTACCAAAACGCGACATACAACTCCCACTCTCTCCCCTTCTTTCTCGAGAGCCCCTCACCGTCCCTCTTCTAGATAAAAAGCGATTATCGGTTACGGTAAAAACGAGCTTGTGTGTTAAACGTCGAGACTTTTTTTCGTGCGCGATATATAGGCGAACGTCCTTTATACCTAACCATTATTGGCACGTTCGACCTCGTACAAAACGCAGAGGATAGTTTAATTTTGACCTTACCGACGACGTGCGATCCGATTGCATTTCTCATCCGTCAGTGTCTGAAGACTCGTCGGAGATGCATTCGCGTGTGTTTTCCAATTGGTCATTGGATAAATCAATATATCCGCTCTTGTCACCTTTGTTTGCCTCTTCGGGCTGCAGGATGATCTTATCTTCTACGATGCTGTGAGATTAATAATGTGAGATCGAAGTTGTTGTGAGGTCGAGATCGAAGACGAAGACGAAGGAGGCGGGAAGAGAGTACATCTGCCTCTCGTAACAGACAAATACAAGACAATGAAGATTAATGCCTCGGCCTCGTTCTTCTCCGTTGCTGGCCGTTCTCCGAGTCGACGGCGCATCGTGCGAACGTTTCGGTAATCCCCAGGGAGAAATGTCTCTTCGAACTCGACTGTGAAACTTTGCGATCCCGTAACCCTGACCTTATATCTGCCATAGTTGACGAATCTTCTCGATAGTTTAATATAAACGACAGCTTTTTCTAATCGTCAATTTGACGTTTCTCAGAATATAAGAATGAACGATTCTACGTGGAATTATAAACGATTAATTAATTCCACGTAGAAGATAGATAGCTTTGCCTTTAATCATTAATTTAATAATGATTTCCGATTGTGGAAAAATGAATGACGTAATTAATTTTATAATTTTATAAGCTCGATTAAAATGATTCATCACAAATAACTACGTTTGTTGATAATTACGAGAACAAAGACATATTTATTTTTAAAATTGAATAAATATGCGAATAAATTTCGACAAGCCTAAAAATAGGAAATATAGAATAAGATCAATTAAATGTTGCGATAGGATTTGGGAATCAGTTTGAGGGGAATTATCGCTGTCGTGCAATTTAATGTCTCACAACTATAAATAAAACATCCCGAGTTTAAATCTCGGTTAGCTCTGTTAATTTTTTCTACTTTTACACAGGGAAAAGTAATGTTTTAATGTGCAATCATTTTACCGTTGCAGATTAGCAGTTGGCGTGACATGGATGTGAGCTTCACGAACGTGTTAGAGGGGGCTCGCCAGTACTTTCAGGGACTGCCCGTACCGAGTACAGGTGGTGGCGCGGCCACGTCAGTGGATCACAATCTCCACTCGACATCCTCCACGAATTCCGCCTCGTCGCACGATCATGACGCACCGTCGCAGCCGACTCAATCGACTCAGTCGATCTCGACTTCCGCCAATAGCAACAGCACCAGCAGTAGCAACAGCAGCAACAACAATAATAATAGCAGTGTCCAGGAATCGAACCGTTATTCCGCCGACATTAGACCATCGTCATCGGTGGAGAGTAGCAATGTGGCGGCCGGATCTAGCTTCTGGAATCCGCACGTGGAACCGTATCCGCCACAGCCGACCAAGGTTGAAGTCCCGGACACGAGGCCAGGCGATGAAGGCTCCGCCATGGAGCCCAGCTCCTCTTCCTCGGGCACTGTTACTTTAACCGAGATGCAACCCTCGAATTATCAGTCCTCTTCCTCTTCCTCCTCCTCCTCCTCCTCCTCCTCTGTCTCCTCTGTCGTGGCATCGTCATCGAATTTCTCGCAAAGAGCGCCGACGTCATCGGTGTTTACCACTTCGTCCTCCAGCGATCACAATCACCATCAATCTCATCCTCCGGTGTCAAACTCGTCGCATTTGCATCAGATGCAACCACCTCAACCATCACATTCCCCTGGACCGGTGTACCAGCAACTTAATAACGTCAACAGGACATCCTTCAGCGCGGCGGAGATGCTCGCTTCTTCGTCGTCGCATTCCGCTTCAACCTATCAGACTGCCAATAACAACGATCGGCAGTCGCAGCCAATCGTTGCGCAAAGGACTCAGTACTATCCGCGTTATCATCATCCAGATATCACGAAATGCGCACCGGCCCCATATTCGCAAAGTTCTATTTATCAATCTGCCAATGTAGCGCAACCTTCGAGCACGATTCAGCAACCGAGTACGAGACCGACGCCGGTGGAGCAGAATAATACGACGACATCGTCCAGCGTTATCATTCAAGGACATTGTCCGCCGGAACAACAACGAATATCCGGTACTTATGGCAGTAACGTGCCACCAGCTCAAAGTCCTCTCGGCGGATCTACGGTGTACGGATCCGGCTCTTCCTCTTCATCGTCTCAGAGCTACTGTTCCACGAGCCAGTACCAGCAACAGACCCATCGTATAGCGAGCGTTTCTGCTTCGAGCGTCAACGATAGGTCACATAGCTCGGATGGGTTGCATTCTTCCACCGCCGCTTGCTCCTCATCGTCGCAGGCAGTCAGCCCGCGTCAGCCCGGGCCAGGGAGCTCCTCCTCCAATCACATTCCTTCGCAGTCGCAATCGCAGAATCTTTCGGGTCACATTCCTTCGATGCATCCACCATCCGTCTCTACTTCGGTGCACTATCATCATCATCATCAACAGCAGCAGCAGCAGCAGCAGCAGCAACAGCAACAGCAACATCATCAACAGCCGTCGCTTTTGCAACAGCAGCAACATCAGCATCAGCATCAGCATCATCAACAGCCGTCATCTTTGCAACAGCAGCATCCGAGTCGCGTAAATGCATCGCCACACTCGCACGGTTCCTCATACGGAGGTCGCGTGTTGCCGTTGCCATTACACGGCGCTCCATCGTCAGCCTCCATGACGGCGAGTCATTCGCAGCAACAGCAGCAGATGCCACCACCTCCAAGTGGATATCACACGGGAACGACGCCGTCGCCGCATCACGAGCCGTCGCCTCGTCACGCAACTCCGTCGCCGCATCACGCGACTCCGTCGCCACAACGGCAATCGCCGCATGTATCCAGTCTACATTCGCACGCCTCTCCGTCTCCTCATCATACACCCTCGCCGCACAACAGCTTCCAGCCGCATTCGCCGACTTATCCACCACCGCCGCCGCCGTCGTCGACGCAGCAGCAGCAGCAGCAACAGCAACAACAGCAGCAACAGCCAGTGGTTCCATCGAGGTCGACACCGCATTCGTACAACTTACCACCGGTTACCTCGCAACACTATCAAACGAATTACGTGGCGGCGGTTCGTGACGCGGCGATGGGATTGCCTTACGCACCGCCGCCACCGTCCCAGTCTTCGTACCATTCCTTCCAAAAGACTCCGCAAGCGGAGTCTCAGGGGGAATAGCTATTATTCTCAGTCGAGCCGATCTCACAGTCAATCTTACAATATGCAACAAATGTTGGTACCGTCGCAAACGGCGTATCCTAGCACCCCTGGTGGCAACAATCTAGGTAGCTACCAGCAAAGTACGAGCAAGCACGTGACGTACAATGGTACGGATGCTGCGAAGAGGGGTATGATGGACGTCACGACAGCGACGCCCTACGGCACGCATCGGTCGCCTGCGCAGAGGAGCGGCAACACGCACAATTTGCCACCCATCGCTGCCCTCTCGTCTTATCATTCCAACAGGCGGGAACCGTTGGGCAAATCGGCGCAATCGACGGCACGACAACGAATGCAGCCGACGAACGCGGCCAGCAAAGTCCCGTCCGTCGTGATGCCACCGACTCCATCGTCCATGACGATGCCTCCGCAGAGGCTCGCCGAATACCCGGTGACCCCTGTCTCGGCAATGAACCACGCACTACCGGTGAACGGTAGGACGACCACCGTGACGAACATGACGTACAGCTCGCGGTACAGCGGTCAACAAAGCTACCCGTCGTCATCGTACGCTACCACGATGGCGCCTAGTCATCATGGTAACAACTCCACTAGTAGCACCACGGTGACCACTGTTGGTCACGGCGGTTCAAGTGGCGCGAGGTCTTCCGTTCCAGCGATCCCCGCGTATCAGTCTTCCGACGAGCCGGATCGATCGGCCGGATCAACGTCCTATCATCACCACCAGCCGCCGACGCGAATGACGACGGAGAATTACGTCTACAAAGAGTATCCTCCTTATCAGAGTCCAGCGTCATCCGGCAGTCAGGTAACCTCGGTCGCCGCCATGGCGAGTTCACCGTCACCGAGCAACACGGTTCGGAAGAGAGAATCTCCCCTGGACCTGTCTGTCAAAACTGTCAAGACGTCCGCCGATTCCACGGCGCAGGACGACCTTGAAACCATCAGCGTCGAGAAGCATGTCAGTAGCTCAAATCTAAGTACCTCTAGGAGCAACGTGAGCAGGTCGATGCCACCTCCGGCTGCCGTGCACCAACCGGTACCGGCTCAGCCATCGTATTCGTCGTCGTACGATCATAGGCCTTCGAGTAACAGTTCGAGAAATTCTATGACCTGCGTCCGGGCGTCGACGCCCCAGACGGTGTGCGCGCCCAAGGTCGACTTCCTGCCGGACTTCAATTCGACGCCGCTACGTCATCAGTCGCATCACGAGAATCCTCTTCGCAGGAGCACCACGCAGCAGTTGTACGTTCCACCCGCCCAACCCGTCTCGTCTCATCACGCGAATACCACTCCACTGCCTCATATGTCCACATTCAAGAAACGTCCACTGCCCACGTCGCCACTGTACGACGGACTGACGATACCGCCTTCGTCAACATCAGCATCGTCGTCGTCGTCGTCGTCATCCGCGTCTTCGTCCTATCTCCATACGAACGATTCCGTGTCCTCGAGATTTTCCAAGTATCGACCGACGATGGAGCCGTCTCCGCGTCTCGGTCCGCCCGCACTGCCCGCACAGGATTACTCGCCTGATCCGAGCAAATATTACTTGGCGGACAGTAGGGCCAAGTTCGACCAGCAGTTTCCTCAACGCGGCGAACGGACGGGCGCGTTCAAGAGGGCTGGCGAAGCTCTCTATAGTACGGGGATCCCCAGCAAACAGGCCAGAGTCGCTTGGCGAGTACCGAGTGCCGACAAGCAGATTACCGAGCCAAAGTTGTCGACCACGTGCACGCTGAACGAGCAGCAGCAGAAGCGGCAAGAGATGAACCTGCCGCCGCTTCCTCTGCCGAACGGAGCTCTGCCGACACCTGCCGGCGCCTACGATCAGCGACCCGCCGACAGCGGCGGTTATTCCGGCCCGGAATCGTCCAGGTCGTATCAGTCGGCGTACTGTGATAAAAGGACCTATCCGGAATCCAAAGTTATACGGAGCTCGCCGTCGTCGTACGGTCATCCGGTGATGTCGAAATCCGCGAGCGTGCATCCGTTGCCGCAGCAGTTGAGCGGCGCGCAACTGACCTATCCCAGTTACCGCCAGGCAACTCAGAAGACGATGTGTCCCCCGAGCGGGACGTCCGGCGGTCAGCCGGTGGACCAACCTAGCAATACCGGCGCCGACAAGAGGGTCCTCAGCTTGCTGAGGAATAGTCTGGAGAACAAACAGCAGAGGGACGAACAGCTAAACAGTTTGCAGCCGATTTTGGCCAATCACAACCAGCAGAGCTTCCAAAATAAAGTAAGAATTTAGAAAAATTTTATTCATCTAATTTCATTATTTCATTATTAAAAGGGAGAGGGCTCTAGGGCTTTATTTTCGTCATTTTTCGTCGCTAATAATTTTTTGCGCATAAAATCAAGTCAAGGACCCTACAACGATGATTTGATGCTGAAAACAAAAGCGTACGGTTATTGAATTATTAGTTCTATCCAGATTTCCAGGCACTTGTGATAATTCCTGTGAAATTAATTCCCACAGGTCGTCGCGCCAGTCGAGCCCAAGACAAATATCGGCAGGCACAATCTGTCACCGTTTACGGCAGCGAGCCTGCTCGAGCGTAACAGCAACACGCCGCCGCATTACAAACTGCACGTTCCGCGTGCGGTAGACTCGATCACTCAGGAGGCGCCGCGCAGCATGTACGCCTCGAGAGTGAACGCATCTGCCACGTTACCCGGCAAGGAGGCTTCCCTCGCGGGACCACGCGGCGCCGAGAATCAGATTCACCGTGACAAGGACGACGGCCTCGCCGCTATCTTAGCCGCGAAGATCAGGACGAAAGCGGAACTGAAACAAGTGTGTGGTTCTCTATATATCGAACAAGCCAGAGTTAATAGAGAACGATAATAAGGCTGATGAGAGAATCAACTGCTGTAACGGGCGACAATTATATATATATATATATATATATATATATATATATATATATCTAATCTTAACATTGTTTATTAATGAAAAGTGCAAAAAAAGAGGGTATACTATTGCTGGACTCGTTGATAGAATCGTTCTCGTTCAAAATACCGTGAGGGAAAAACTTAAATTTGAATGCTTATCCTCTCAACTTTATTTTTGATAATATTCATTCAAGATTAAAATTTATTTTTAAACGAGATGACTTTAAACTTTCAAGTATTTTCTCGGAAACACTTCGCGAAAAACAAAATGGTTTATATTACCTTTTATTTCGAAAACTTCTATTAAAAAACTTTTTCAAAAAAATTATTGATGATTTCGAAAACACTAAATTTGCGTTTTTAGTTATGATATAAATTGACAGGTTTGATCAGAGAGTTCATAAGAACATTCTCCCAGCATATTCTAAAAGAAATTTAATATACAAGATCTGCTGTAGCGATGCTATGTGAAAAGGATCGTGAGACAATTAAAAACGAGACTAAATGAACATCAGAATCAATTCGTAGAAATACTAAAACGCATTCGGTAATTGTCGAAGGATAGGATAAATTGCGATCAAAATGAATTCACTTGAGATAATGTTAAAATTGTGAATAGTGAAACATAATCTACGAAAGTAGATTAACTTTCGAAATGCTTTTCGTCAAAAGTCATAATAATAGCTTGAATTCACAGTCTGAAACTGAAACTATTTACGTCACGCAAATGTTTTTTTTCATCTTGAGCTGTAAACTTGTTTTTGTTTTTGGTTGAGGTCTTGTCAATCTTAAAAATCATCATTGCTCTCAGCTATTGCCTTGCTGAATCAAAATGTGCCGATAACGAGATTTATATATTTTCTTGCTAAGTTTTTTTTTTTCTTTTTATTGTCTGTGTCCATTTGGTGAATGATCATTTACATAACTATTCTTTCCTTTATTTCATATGAACGATTTTCATCGAACATACCATTTCATATTATTTATTTGGCAATTAATAATTTCATTTAGTCAACTGACAAGAGTGATATATTGTCATTATTTTTATGATTGGTTGGGCTTACCGATTGTACTCTGAGACATCCTTATTACATTTTTATATCACTGAAGATGCCTCGAATTTGAGTCGAAACCTTTGGCACTTTTTTATTAAATAAAGTTAAGATTAAATATATAATTTACGCACCGCTTACACCGCTGATTTTTATTAGCCTTATTATTGTAATAATAATATAATACTAATATAGTATTATAATATTGAGATGCCACCACACTTTTCTGTTAATATTTAAACTGTAGTTAATTTGCAAAATTATGTTGCTCGTCTCGATCTCACGATTCATATCATTTTTTTAGGTTGGAACCGGCCAATTTACAACGAAAGCTTCCTCCGTACCATCACAGAATATGTCATCGACACCAAAAGGTAATTTGATAATTTTCGGAGAAGAGGCCGATAATTAATATCCATTGGTAAACATTACCAAACCAAAGATAATTTAATGTCGATTTGATCTGTTCATCCCAATTTCATTCATCGTAGTTTGCGCCGAGTATAACCGATATAATTTGCGTAGTAATTGCGATGTTATTCAATCACATCGATTATATATGCTGTATGCAGATATTAATTTTGAGATCTGCATATAATCTTTATTGTTGTGCACACACACACACACACACACACACACACAGAGATCGATAGCGCAGCCTCGACGTCGACGCCGCAATCCGGCTCGTCCGCAGGCAGCCCACCAAAATTAACGCGCGAGAAGACTGTCAGCCTGCCTCCTAGAAGACGTTTGTTTTCGAGAACCGACGAGGACAACATGCCGGTAGCGGCGACCGTGCCTGCCGCCGCCGCCGTCGCGTCCACAGTTCCGGCAAGGGCGAGCGGATGTAGAAGCTCCTCCGAGACATCGGTCTTCGACTTCCGGGAGAGCGACTCCGAAGGCGAGATGCCGGTACTCGAGCTACAAACCTTGGAGGAGATGAGGAGAGACAGGAAACAGTTGTCCAAAGTGCAACCCCCGATTCCTCTTAATGACGCCGTGTGCATGAACATGGCATCCTCGACGGATCTCGTGAAGATAGAGCTAAAGGTAGGGGACGAAATTAAATTATACGATATTGAAAAGATGGTATTTATAACTGATATTTACACAGCTTCCTGTGTAAATTAAATTTTGTTTCTCTTAAACACATTGCCGAGACAGACACGTCATAGTTGTAAATAATGTAAAATTACATAAAATTGAAAGTCGAGAGTTCATCAAAGGTGTAGCTCGAACGAAAAAATGTATAAAAGTCAATTTTCATATAGATAAAGTCCGATTTTTCTTGGTTCGTTATATATTTAATTTTTTCTGCTTTACTATAAAAGAATTTTTAACTTGAGGAAGACTCAATATAGAACATTTCAGTCAAATATTTAAATTTTGTTTTATTTCACATGCACGAATTTTTACCACACGCTTTTGTTTATTATCTTGTTTCCATCTACTTATGTTACAATATTATTTTATGCATCGTTGTTTGCAGGAAAATGACAAAATCAACGATATCGATCCATTCTGGACTAATACTTGTGATAAATTCATGGAACAATTACGAACGGGTGATGCCGTAAAGAAGCGAGGACGCAGAAAAAAGATAAGCAATACCACAACATCAAAGCTCGAAGATACGGTTAATGACAGTGACAAAGAATCAGACAGCAATGCGTCGCCTTCTCAAATTAAGCCCGAAGATATCAAAAGGGAAACACCAGAGGCGAGTAAGGAAGATAAAAATTCAGTCTTTAAGGACGTTAAGATTAAGATAGAGCCCGGATTGAAGAAGGAGGACGACAAACATTCGAGTGACGATTCGGACGAAATTCCGTTAATTCGAAGAACGAGGCAAGAGGTGAAGAAGGAGGATAGCGATTGCGATGAAGAAGTGATATGCCGAAGAAGACGAATTCGTCGCGGTAGCAAGTTCAAACTCGAATCCTCCAGTGGTAGCGAATCCTCTAGCGAGGATAGCGATACCGAGTTTGGCCATGGTTCCTCGGTGGCCGATAGACTTCGCGCTAGGAAGCGAACTCTGGCCAACACGTCCGAGGGTATGAAGCTTCGTTCGAGGGACACTACGCCACACAAAGCGAAAACAGAGAAGGAATCCAAATTGTCGCCGCCTAAAGGCGGGACGTCCCAAAAGACAAAACCGAAACCACTGTTTGGTGACGGCAGCGATTTCAGACCCGGTTGGGAAGAGGAAGTTTACGTGTACAAAAAGTCCTTAAGAATGCCTACCAGATTGATAACGGTATCAAACCATCGCGTTTCCATCGGTTGTCCACGTCATTGCCGGATTTAGATCCCGGTTCGCCGGCATTGTCCGTCTCAATGGACAGTTCCGATGTATGTCTCGGTCGTAACAAGAGAATCGTAGACAGTGATATGGAATCCAATTATAGTTTCAGTATCACGGGCAAGATTGATGATGAGGAGGCAACTTCATCCACGACAGTTTCCTGCCCTCCGAAGGCCATGAAACATTTCCGATCGGAGAATAATTCTATCGTTGACGTTCTCGCGCAGAAAGTCGGAAGTAGCGGTGGTCAGAAAGACTCGAAGAAGAAACAGAATCTGAAGGGCAATAAGAGCAGTAACATTAATAGGAGTAGCAACGAACCGGAACTTTTGCCAACGCCGAGTCTCGCACCGCTCCTGTCATCCGAGACATCGAAAAACTCTAAAAATAAGATGGCAATGAAGAACAATAAAAACCCGATTAAAGTTAGCAATTCCGATCTCCTTGGTTATTTCCGCAAAGAGACAGTTAATAATTTCCGTGACGCGTTCAAGAATAATCACGCGTTGCCCAATGAGTTTTCTACTTTGGTGCTGAAAAGTCGAACGAGAACGGAGACAAAAGTACTGAAGAAAGAGACGACTATACGCGAAGTATTCGGCGAGGATAGACCTGCGTCGGCTCCGCCGATGCAGAATCACGATGACACGTCGCAAGACGACGATTCACAGAATGAAATTCCGGAGAATGCATTGGGCAAGATGCGAATGTTGAAACAAAAGGTAGTGTCCCGTTTGAGAAACGCTGGTATACTACGAAGCCACAAGGCGATAATGAACTCGAAACGTCGCCTATTGACTGCCGAGAGGCGGAAGGATCTGCTCAAATCGCTCGCTAGTAAGAAATTGCATCGTATCAAAACTGAGATAGAGCAGGAAGAGATCAACGACGCCAGGGAAGAGGAAAATAACGAGATGGAGGATGACAAGAATGATTTAGAGATTCGTAACAAAAAGAAATTGAAGCTTCGACCTGGCCGGAGGAAATTCCGTTCTGGATTCGATTACATTCGCAAAAAGAAGAAGCCTCTGAAGAAAGATGAAGCGTTGCCGAAGGAAAGAAAAAGAGTATGTATTTTTTTTATTTTGTTTTCCTCGGTATCTTTAAAAATTTTCACAATGCAATTGTCACTATACTAGTTTGAAATACGATATATTTTCTTTTACAGCAAAGCCAAGCCAGCAAACCAAGCCCGGAATGCGTAGCCGATATTCAGTCCGAGATCAGGACATGGGTTATCAAAAAGGGTGTCGGAGAAACCATATTACACCGTGCTGCCCGTCTCGGTTACACGGTGAGATAACGATCGACGTTGCTACGTCACGCGGTAGAATTAACCAGCGATTTGTACGAATCGCGATCTAATCTGTTTGTATTTCGCCGCAGGACGTGACCGCTTATTGTCTGGAGAAGCTTAACAGCGCGCCGAGTCCCAAAGACAACGCGGGATACACGCCACTTCACGAGGCGTGCTCCAAGGGTCATCTAGAGATTGCGAAACTTTTGCTATCTTATGGTGCGAACGTTAGCGAGAGCGCTAACGGTGGCATCAGGTAATATTTCTGTCAAAATCTTTCGCGATTATAACTCCTCGAGTTATTACTCCTCGGCAAGTAATTCAACTCGAATATATGTAGACAACTGTAGGTAGGTAGATAGCGCTATATCTTCTCGCATTGTCGCAGGCCACTTCACGAGGCAGCTGAAAATGGAGCTACGGAGCTTGTACGATTGCTACTGTCGTACGGTGCCGATCCATTGTTGGCTACTTATTCCGGACAAACGCCTTTGATGCTGGCTGTCGACACCGAAGCTAATTCTATTCTAGAGCAGCATCTGGCTGACATCCAAGGTCACACTACCATACCATGGCCATTCGCAGGTCCATCTTCTATTTTCGGTAAGTCATATTTGATGACAAGTTTCAGATGAATATTTTTATAAATTTTTTGTTTGAATTGTTTTTTAGATCCCGAAGAAACGGGTTACAATCCGCTCGAGGATGTTCCAATGGACAGTCCCGAATCAGTTGAACTAGATGACATCGAAATGGAAGTAAGCGACATTAATCTGCCTGTCCTCTTCACTCTGAACAACGATCCGGACAAGTGGGTGCTGCTTCAAGATCTCATGGCAGTTTTGAGGATAAAGAGCCGCGAGGCTCTTCTCCGTCAGATCAATCCGAAGGCCCACTCTGGGCCACCTGCGATCGCGCATCGCGACGTCATGCGCGAATTGAAGCTGCCGGATTTCCTGGAGCAGACGCGTTGCTGTCATCTATTGAGCGGTGGCGAGAGGATCAACGTGCGTGGCTCCAAAGTCACGCTCATCAAGTACAACGACAAAGTGAAATCCCTGTTGAATGTCGAAAAGGTGCTGATCAATCTTAGGTGACAAGAGGCATCTCTGGGGCGTTCATCTCCCCAGACATCGAAACCATCGACTTCGATTCCGGCCAAGGAAAATCAGAAGAAAGTCGAAGGCAAAGCTGCTATGAAACGCGAGCGACAACAAGGAAAAAAGCGGCAGGAGACGCGTAACAAAAATTCCATAGATTAAGTAATCCGTTTTGTCGTAAATAACTCATATAAATGTAATAAAAATTATAAAAGAAGTTCTTGCTAAAGAGCGAGTGTCAAGGACCAAATCATCTCGATGATTGTTTTCACATAACGCGAAAAGAAAAAAAAAAGGGAACGAGTTATTGCATGTGGAGAAATGAATCCTAAATAATCAACATGAATCTGTTTGTTTAAAAAATTCGTCCCCGAAAGAAAAGAAAGACTGATTGACACAACAATGAAGATCGGTGCTTTTATGTGTGTCCAAAGACTGATTCTTTTCGATTTGTCTTATGCTTTAGAGATAAATCAAGTTGATCGACACTGACAACCAATGCTGATCGATTTTCTCTTTTCGATCTCTTGTAGTGCAGAGTAGAACGAAATTGACGAACTTGACTCTAAAGTGATAAGAAATACGCACATAATCGGTTTCGTTCCTTTATTCAGATGATAAATTTGTCAATCGAAAAGTAAAAGGAAATCGGTAATCTATCGGTATCTATCGATATTCTGCCGGGAGTATAACGCGCAATTAAATTAACTTTAAAGCACGTATAGCCGTGCAAATGTAGTTTTAAACAAAATTACTATTTAATGCGCAGCTAAAAATAAGGGAAAACGGCTACCTGTGACATTATATAGGCAGTATTTATCCAGGATATATGCATAATATGCGTATATCTATAGAACGATGATGATATTTTATTAATTCTCTTAAGGATTGAGTAAATAATCAGAAGTTCGCTAAACGCGCGCAATGCTTTTAGGCGAATGAAAAAAAAAAA